ATGGACAGTCAGAGCGAACCATTCAGACGTTAGAGGATATGTTACGGGCTTTGGTTGTTGACAGGGGTGCTAAGTGGGAGTCTTTATTGCCATACGTTGAGTTTGCGTACAACAACAGTTATCATTCTTCTATTTTGATGGCTACTTACGAAACACTTTACAGTCGTAAGTGTCGTTCCCCTCTTTATTGGGACAATGTCGGTGAATGTCGAGTACTCGGTCCAAAAATGATCGAGGAGACAGCAGAGCAGGTCGAGTTGATCCGGCAGAGACTCAAGACAACACAGAGTCGACAGAAATCTTCCGCGATCAGCATCGACGAGATATTCAGTTCGAGGTTGGCGAGCGAGCTTTTCTCAGAGTTAGTCCATTTCACGGAGTTGTTCGATTCGGGAAGAGAGGGAAGCTACACCCTCGATTCATTGGCCCGTTCGAAGTTCTCGAGCGAGTGGGCGAAGTTGCATATCGTTTGGCCTTACCTCCCGAGTTGTCCAGTGTTCATAATGTTTTTCATGCATCCATGTTACGTAATTACGTGTGCGACCCCGATCATGTTATTCCTCATACTGATATTCAGATCCATCCAGATTTATCTTAGGAGGAGCGATCGGTAGCTGTGTTGGACCGACAGGTTCGACGGCTTCGGAAGCATGATGCTCCCCTCGTTCGTATTCAGTGGGATCGCCACGGAGCTACTTAGGAGCAGGAGGCTGATTTCGTGCTCGTTTTCCCGATTTTCAATTCTGATGTATATATTCTTTTATGTTTTATGTATATATGACCCGTTTTATATTTCTGGGGACATTTTAAGGGGGGCAAATTGTAATATCCCGTCATGTTTATTAATATAAAATCATGTTTATTTACGAAAAATTTATTTTATCAAGCGTTCAATGCACGAAATAAGCATGACCTAAGTACATTCACGCATGCCTTGGCACTAAGCACGACCATTAGCGTGCATAAGCACGCTTAGCTCGGCCATTATGGCCGAGAGTTAATGTCTCCCACACACATTGCCATCATGACATTAGCCATGTGGAGGCTTGAGGTGAGTTAAGAAGGTGACTAAGCCTTGCACTTGGTGACTAGGCACCAAGAGGCCACATAAGGCCGTGCATGCGTAGCACATGGCACGCGGCCATTGGCCAAGAGTTTTCATCCCAAAAATTACCATTCTTCATCCGATTATATAGTGAGAAGTGGGGTGAAAATGTAGCTTATTACTTAAGCTATATGATCAGCAAACACTAAACAAGGTTAAGTTACAAACACACGCACACGGTAAAAACACACACGTACACGCACGGAGAGGAGGGATTAAGCCCATTCTCGAGAAGTTAGTCGAGCACTTGAAGAGGTAACCTCATCCTCAACATTCATTCATGTTAGTAAGATCATGATAAGGTAAATTGTTCAGTTCACGTCCAGAAATTCATGTGAAAGGCTTGATTATACTCGGTTTATGCTATGTTAGTTCGTATCGAGTTAAGTTGATTTTATCCAGCAACTCTCGAGCGTTTATTTCTTATGTAGTCATTATTCAGTCTAATATGCTCAGTTAATTCATGTTGGTCGAGTAAAGTTCATGTTTCTTCGAGAATTGGCTCAATGCCAAAGATAAGGGCACAGTGCGCACGTCTCGACACCACCTTAAGTTCATCGCACAAAATTAATTATTTTTGAGTTAATTCAGTAGAATTGATCATGTCATGTAATACTATGTTGAACTATGTTACTGTTGCCGGATAAAGTCGTCGGACAGCCGACGAGAGTCGGTTGTACTTGCGCTGGTCGCACGTAGTGGCCGCAGCGTACCGACAGTCATGCATGCGATGCGAGTGATGTGCATGAATGTTGTATGGGCGTCGTGCATGA